CGGGCTAATATATCTCTTGTTTAGCGCGATACGAAGTCCGATTCCAAAAACGTATTTGTGGAGCTATTCGTTTTCCTATTCATTCTACTCTTTTCCGATCAAATACGGTGTCCGTCTTTCTTGCACACCTGAATCCGTAGTGTCCATATCCTCTACTATTTTTAATCTATACCTACTTTTTTTTTGTTCACCTCTTTTAACTACGGAGTACCTAACTACTCAGACACTAGAAGTAGAGTCCAATCTATATATGTACGTCCCCCTTTTTCCCTCGCTGATGGCGTTTCTCAAATTCCGGTTTTGGGGTTTTTGTTTCCGTTCGTGAGTCATATTTGGATTTGTTATCAGATTGGTTTGCTTCCGTCTTTTTCACGTTGGTTTTGGTTTACGTCTGGTTTTTCCCCACGTTACTTGTGTCCGTGATTCCCTTCCATGTTCCCCCTTTTTTTTTTTCTAATTTTGTTTTCCCTATATAAAATTAAAAAATAAATATAATATTATGAACCTTTTGACCTACACAAATATACATTTTCACTACTAAATTATTAATGCAGTTTTAATTAAGAATAAAACTTATATTATTATTATAATCCGGTTCAGCAAAGTCCTAAGTAATCAAATCGCAAACTGAAGTATGGAACAGTTTGTTATCCAATTTAGTCTAATAAATATCTCTCCAAAAGCAATCCTCGACTAGAGCTACCATGTACAAACCGAGAGATGCTTCACGTCATAATCGTCACATAGATCAGTGTCATTGACACATTGGTAACTATACATCTTACTGACTTTAATCAGAGATTCAAATTACAATTTTTTATGGGTCCATAAAGGAAGTCATATAACTCAAAATTTAACTATGCCAACGCACGGATAGTATGAAACTAGAATTATGATATATTTACAAATTTTCAAATTAATAGTTTTGTGTATTTTGCAACTGGAGAGAAAAAATCTATCAAAATTGTATTTTAAATTTGATACATGCTTAATAGGGTATTGTCATATTATTGCCAACATTAGATTATATTGTGAATGACTTAGTCATCATAAAAAATAGCTTTGAAATTTTATAGAAAGAGCATAACATAAATAGATATGTATCATTTTGGTCCTCATTTTTCGTAAATGTTTTATATTCGTCCGCCATACTTTCAGTCTAATTAATCAAATAAGCAAGCGCTAGGCCTAATTAATCATATCCTATATATACATATCAATTACTGTGGAACGAAACACCCAACCAAACAATCAAATTACTTGAGCGAATAAGATACTCGAAACAGCTTGACCCGTCACGGAATGGACATGACCGACCTCGAATCGAGCATGGCGGGGGCGGCGATGGTGAGCGCGGTGCCCATGGAGAGCAGGCTGAACACGGCGCCGTACGTGACGCAGGTGTAGAGTGCGGCGGGCCATGCCGGCGCCGTCAAGGTGGAGGCGGAGAAGGTGGCATAATGCTAGGCGTGATCGAAGGCGAGTAGGGACCAGGTGACGGAGAGCAGGCGACAGTGCGGCGTACACGGCAAGGAAGAGCACCACTCAGGTCCATTGCCGGCTCATCGCCCGCAGCAGGAGCGATGTCCAAGGGGCCACGCCATCGGCTCGGTCGGCCCCGCCGCCGGATCCATGGATGGACGGGAAGCAAGGAGCAAAGCTGAACGAAAATAAAAAATGTGTCATTACCTTGAACGAGGCCGAGGAGGGAGGGAGGCAGCAACGGATGGCCAGGTGCCGACAGCACTTGGGAGTGCCGGGAGGGCGCGGCGCGGCGGCCAGGCGGATGGACGCGCCGGGCAGACAGAGCGAATGCACGGTGGGCGCGGCAGGCAGGCGGGACTGGGTCGCAGGCCTTTTATCCGGCTCATCCGCGCCACCGATCAGGGCGTGTCACTGCTGCGCCAAGATCGGTGGCGCGGCAGACGTTGCCACATCACCGGTCAGCAGTCCCGGTCGTCACCACGTCATCCTTCCGCCACGCCACCATACATGACGCGACACAAACGTTTCGCTGCGCCATGGCAATAGGCGCGGCTAAAAGTGTTAATTAAAAAAACAGTGTTAGATTTAAAATTAGTTTAAAAAAGTATTAAAAATAAAAAAAATTGTCGGCCGTCGGCACACGGACGACTTGCCAAGCGCATGCATCGAATTTCCGGGCGGGATGCTCTGCTTCACCCGTAACGCCGTGTGGAGCACGGTCTGGATTTATGAGTACCGGGACGACAATCTCGGTGCTCCCATTTTCTCTCACACCTCTCTCAAGTACCCATCTCTTCTGCCAGGGCCCCAGAACCCCGGAAGAGGAGGGGAGGAGACGGTCACCCAGCCGGGTTGCCTCCCGCTGCCGCGGCCGCCGGCCGCCTGACTCCGGCCACGGCGTACAGCTAGGCCCAGACCGCGCGTTGCCTCTCCTACTCCTACTGCTGCTAGGGGTAAGATGAAAGGCTTTCCGCCTCCCTGTTCCTCTAGCCCTGATGTAAGTGATGTCCTCTGCTATTCGTTCCTTCACACTCCTGCTGCTTTGGAGCAGCTTGTTTACGGAGTACTTTCCCATCTGATGATCAGAACAGAGGAATAGGAACCGTTAACAGCATCTCGAGCAACACTACCCAAATGACATCCTATCCTCAATTTAGTAGTGGAGACTAAAAACTCAGCTCCAGACCCTGCCTCCTAAATTTGTTAGCCTCTTATTTTTTTCTGAAACAAGTTTGCACTTTATTATATCTAGGGTGGAACATTTACATCATGAGACACAAGATTTTATTTGTTTTCTTGTATTATTAGTAAAAAAGAAGCGTCCTTCTTTTCTTTGGTTAAGCGAAAACGATCTCGATCTGTGATTCTTTAAATATCTAGAATGATCCATTTCGGTACAAACTCTGGGAGGGGATCAATCAAAACATGCGATTGATTTGGGTCCCAATTCAAACCAATCCGAGCAAGTTCGTGTGCACAAATTCATTTAAGAAGAAGTGGATGACATGTGGGTCCTTGTCACCATTGACGAACTCAGCCAGGGGGATGGGGAGCAGGCCACCGCTGGGGGAGTGGCCGGAGGAGGTTACCGGGGAGTGGCCGAAGGAGGTTGCCGCACGGGGAGGGGAGTAGCCGAGGAGCGGGCCGCTACGGATCCGGCCGGCATAGAGGTAGCGTGTTGTTGTGGCATGGCCGGTGGGGAGCGTCGCCCGGGAGGCCGGCCCGTGCCTAGGAGCGCCGTCGTGGAGGCACCCGCACTGGGAGCAGCGCCGGCGAGGCCCGCCGCGCCCACGCCGGAGAGTCGCGCGAAGGAGAGAGCCGCGATGCCGGTGTGCCGGAGAAATAATAAAAAACTGTTAGACCAAAACTCTTTTAGGAAAGAAAAACAAATCCATATACCATATACAAATGGATGATACATATATCATAATATGGAGCAGGTAGTCAGTATCGAACCCGTAACCCAAGCTTATGAGCTTTGTGAGCTACCAAACTGCTCTACCTTCTTAGTGGGGAACTAGTGGACTTAAAAAAAAGAATAAAGGGTTAATTCGTTCTTGATAGCCATTTCCTTAACAAGTGAATGGGAACATACTCTAGACTGGAATCTGAAGAAAGTATTGCTTGGTCATTTCCACCAATTTCAAGTCCTACCCGTGATCTATTGGATCATGTTGCGGTCATGAGTACCGATAGGAGAGAAAAACTTTACAACATAATGGTTTTTTATGCGGGTAGCCCGCTGGATGAATTTTGCATTAACCCTTTAATTCCTCTCGCTTGGCGCGAAGAAGAGCCGTGCAGAGAAGAAACATGAAAAAAAAAGATTGGGTAGTCTATTAGGGGGCCAACAAGAATGGATAGTGGGAGAGAAAAATAGGAGGCCAACATTTGGGGAGTCTGCTGGAGCTGTTTTTTTTTTGCCTCCACTACCCAAATTGGGGATATCGGTTTAGTAGGGGTGTTGCTGGAGATGCTCTTAGCCCCCTACTCGGCCACCCAAAATTTTCCTTAAGCCTTTCTTCCCCGTGCGAGCCTACAATTGCTCCTGCCGTGTCCCTTCCACCCCGCCGCCTTCCCTTCCCCGACACCCCCCGGCCGGCGCGGCGATCTTCCCAGACGTCGGTGGCTCTGCTCGGCGCTGCGACTTTCCTCAACGTTGGCGGCTCTGTCCCAGCACGATGACCCTATCTGATGCGGCAGCCATGCCCCCACGTGGGTGCAGGCGCACCTTTGGCTCCCGCCATCGACGCTCCTCGATGCCCACTCCCTAACGCCGGCGCACCTCTTCCAACATAAAAGATTATTTAAATACTACTTTTTTTTCAGCAATACTACCTAAAATAGACCTTACAGGCTCATCCGATAGAGGATGACCTTCCAAACTCATCTAAGAAGACGACTAAATAGGTGGCTAAAAAAAAGTAGAGGCAATAGCGTTGGTGGAGATACTGTAAGATGGCGGTGCCTGACGTAGGGCGTGGCAGACAGCTAGATACCTCTCCTTCCTAGTCGAATGGCCTCCAAAATATATAATGCGCGTGCTGTGCGCAACGCACGGACACGCGTCCACACGTACAGAAACGATGCCGGTGAGGAGGAAGAAGAACATAGCACCCGCAAGGTTAGGGTTTGGGGTGGAGCTTGGGTAACTCCAATGACCTCCGGGCTTAGAAGGCAAGGTTAGGGGGCGAGGGGTACAAGATTTTTTCTCCTACAGGGATTAGGTGAGGGTGGGGGTGGGCGGCGCGACGATTCCGATTCGGATTTGGGGAGAGCGGGCTGGAGCAACGGAGGTGGTTGGTGGGCGGCGCGGCCAGAGGCGAGGGCGCCGCTGGCCGGGGGCTGCAGCGGGGGAGCAGAATGGCACCACGAATAAGAAGAATAGAGGAAGAACAGGGAAGAAGAATGAACCCGTGCGCTGATAAAGAGTCCTCTGTGGCCTCACCTCTGCTACTAGTTCCTTACTCCACACACGTTCTGGTTTCCCGCAGGGTATTCGTTCGCGTCCTACGATGGATGCCGTGGTGGAATTGTTCAGGAAGCTCGCTGATGTCACCTTTGACGCCGCCTGGAAAGAGATTGCTAGGCAGCTGAAATTCAGTGAAGATTTGGGGAGCATCAAGGACAATCTGTCCTTCATTCATTCATTCCTCAGGGACGCGGAGAGGCAGTCGTCAAAGCCGCAGAGTGTCCGTCACACGCTCAAGAAGCTCAAGGCTGCAGCTTATGACTTAGAGGATATGCTGCTACTCTTCGAGTCCTGGACCACCACCCACAAGGGTGAAGTCCTTCCGCTTAGCGCCAAGGCTACAAAGGTCAGTTGCCACTTGCCAGCTATAATACTTCAAAGCTAAACTGCGGTAGATTATGATGAAATCTGTTACGATGTGTGCCATTTATTGACAACAGGAATTAGTTGCATGCTCTGAAAGGTTGAAGATGCCTCATAAATTGAAAAGAATGAGGGAAACAATAGAGGAGATAATAGATCACCAGAACAAATTCAACTTCAGAGAAGACACTAGAAAGAACGACGAAGAAGTGTTCAGGAAACGTGAGACATTTTCAGATGCTGATGAAGTCCCCATTGGGAGGATCGAAGAAAAAGAAAGAATAATCAGTATGCTGCAAGCAGATGACTCAAACTGCTTCATCATTTTTATTTATGGTTTTGGAGGAGTAGGTAAAACTACTCTTGCCCAGATGGTCTTCAACGATGATAGAACAATGCAATTCTTTGACATCCAAGTGTGGGTCTATGTCTCTCTAAAATTTGATATCAAGACCATCGGTCAATCTATCATCTCCCAACTGGATAAATCAAGTAGCTCTGCTGATATCACCTTACAAGCTACACGGGACCGCTTGAAAACTATTGTTAAAGGGCAACGGTTTCTTATTGTTCTTGATGACCTATGGGAAGAAGATCCAGATGAGTTGGAAAAACTAAGGACACTGCTGCGGGGTGCTAAAGCAGGCAGCAAGATCATTGCAACCACACGCAGTGTAAAAGTTGCTAAGCTAATGAATGGGAGTTTGACAATAGAATTAGGTGCTTTACCGGACAATTGCTGCTGGGAGTTGTTCAGAGCAAAGGCATTTCCACATGGAAAGGTGGATGCTGATAAGGAAAGTATAGGAAGAGAGATAGTAAATAAATGCAGCGGAATGCCACTAGCAGCAAATTCTCTGGGTCGCCTTTGCCGGAGAACTAATGAATGGAAAGCTATACTGGATAGTGATATCTGGGCAGAAGATGGAGATGGACCTTTCATAGACACGAAAGTACTACCATCACTGAAGCTTAGTTATCAATACATGCCTTATCATCTCAAGCCCTGTTTTGCATATTGTGCTGTTTTTCCTAAAGGCTCCTGCATAGAGAAGAGCAGCTTGATTCAGCAGTGGATTGCTCTTGGATTTGTTCAGCTCCCTGCTGCTAGCCAATCGTTCACCGTGCAACAAGCTGGAGAAAGATACTTTGAGGAGCTTCGTGAGATGTCATTTCTTCAGGATGTAGCTGGAATGTCTCCAACTGTAAGTCCTTGGTTTCTTTTACTGCTTAGTATTTGAGGTCAAACTTCTATTTAGGTAGTCTCATCTAGTTCCACTACAAAAAAGCCAATCTACGTCAATTTATGTTCATTTTTTGTTTTTTGATAATACATGCTACCATGCAAGTTAATTATGTCTAAACTTGGGCAAGGTAGTTTACTAACATGGGTACAATTTCATCTTTTCAGCCATTTGCAAGATATAACGAACCTCGAGGTGTACTATTCCAGATGCATGATTTGGTTCATGATCTAGCTAGATTAGTTGCGGGTGATGAAGTTATTGCCTTTGATGCTAATAGGCAACAAAGTCCTCATGGTAATACAGACAACTGCCGACACATGTTGCTCTCAAATTTATGTGACTCATCCCTATATTATTGGTCTATACCTAGCACAGCAAGGGCTCTTCGTTTTGAGAAGTGTAGCATTGCTCAGACTAGTTTGAAGTCTTTGATGGGAGCTGAATTCTTACGTGTACTGGATTTAGGTACATGTACCTCTATTGCCGATCTACCTGATTCTATCAGCAATTTTAGACTGTTGAAGTTCTTAAATATATCTGGAATGCAAACTGGCCTTCTGCCCAAGTCCCTAAGCTCCTTGCATGGTTTACTAGCATTGAATCTTTCCGAAAATACTGGCCTTGTTGATATTCCCAGTTACATTTGTGAATTTGTCAACCTACACTATTTGGATCTACATGGCTGCTCAAATCTTAGAGAGCTGCCACAAGAAATTCATATACTCAAAGAGCTGCTACACCTGAACCTATCAGGATGTGGTAGCCTACAATCTCTGCCTAATGAGTTTGGGGAGCTTCGAAAACTCTCATTCCTCGACCTTTCATATTGTTCTCAGCTTCAAACGCTTCCTTCAAAGTTTGGTGGGCTTCAGGAACTTTCGTATCTCAACCTGTTGCATTGTTACCAACTTTGTGAGCTGCCTGATTCTTTCATTTACCTTGCAAATATGATACATCTGAATATGTCCTTCTGCCACCAGTTGAAACTATTGCCTAGTGGGTTATTCAAGTACATGAAGAAGCTTCTAGGTTTGAATTTGTCTGGCTGTACCTCTCTTGAAGTTCTTCCTGGAGTTTGTGAGAATGATGCTGGCTGCTGCCCGATGTTGGAAACTTTGGATTTATCAAATTGTACTAATCTGGCTGCCCTTCCAAATTCCTGCACCAGTCTTTGTGAGCTCCGGTATTTAAATCTATCAGGTTGTTCTCGAATTAACAACTTTCTAAATTTGATTCCGCACTGGAAATTCGATAAGTTGGAGTACCTAAATCTCTCTGGGTTTGATGCAAAAGCTTATCCTGAAGCTCCAGGAACCTCTGTGGCAAATGTAGAGAGTTCAGAAGATCTCAATAGAGAACTAGAGCTAGGTATGCTGCAAGAGGATATCATCACCCAACGTTTGCATCATCTTAAGTACCTATCAGTTGGAGGGTTCACACTCTTCTCAAAAAAAGGCATTGCAAGCTTGGTAGACCTTCTAACCTTGCCCAACTTTAATGTACGGGCACAACCTGCAGACAACCACAGCAATATTATGCTTCTCCAGCAGATCCTGGATCTCACCCATCATGAGCTAAACATCAAATGCCTTGAGAATGTGGTGTCGCCAGAGGAAGCAAAGAAAGTGGAACTGAGCAGGAAGCAACAGCTTCATTTCTTGAGTTTTGAATGGTCTTGTTTTTTGTCTTCTTTGACACCTGATGGGGCTGGTGAGGAAAAGGCTATGGCAGTTTTGGAAAATTTCAGGCCCTATTACAATTTACAGTGCCTCTCTCTTTAAAAGGCTACAGTGGAACCAGATTTCCTAATTGGGTTAACAAGATAGACGACACACTCCCAAATCTGGTGAAAATTGTATTGTCCAATATCAAGGGATGTGACCATATTCCTACATTGGGACATTTACCAAATCTACAGGAACTGGAGATTAATGATATGCCTCTGCTTCGTCATGCACGAATTGTACCATGCAAGAAGTTAAGACGACTGACATTGGTTGGACTGCAAGACATCACTGTACTTATATTTTATGATGACAACTCAGAGACACAAGTAAATGATGTGGAAGAGACTGGAGTACATGAGGTGGTATTAAGTCGTGACTTCGATGAGGAAGAGAGAGAAACAAGAGATAAGCATGACAAGTTACCTGGTTCTCTTCCTGTAAATAAGCAAGTCAAAAGAAAGGCAGCAGTAGCAGGCCTTGTAGCAAAGGTCAAGGGTTGTTTAAAAGCTCCACGCTGTGGCACGTCGACAGAGACAAAGAGAATACACTACATTGGTGCTGGAAATGACGCACCTGCTGTCACCTGCAAGCCAGTACTAACTCCAGCTCCCTCTAAAGAAAGAAGAGAACAGGAAGCAGGCCCTACACTTGATTATTTGAAGATAGAAAGCTGTCATAATCTAAAACTGCATCCATATATCCCAATGAGCAAGGAGTACATCATCAAGAATAGCTTTCTCAGTCTGGATCATATCGAGGAAGATGCCATAGGTATCCAAAGATATGATATGTTGCATTTGAATCCCACATTCAAATCAAAAATGTGGATAGAGGACTGTGTTGAAATACATGATGATTTTCTAAGATGGATTGTGAAAGTAGTTACACACATCAACGTGGAGGAGCTTTTTATCACTAGATGCAACATCATTGCCAGACCGCCCAGAATGGAGGAACGGCCTTTTGGAACCCTTCGGAAAGTCAAGATAACAGATTGCCACGGGCAACTTCCTAAAATATTGGCTCTATTCACATCACTACAGGAAATTGAAGTCGATTGCATCCGCTACTTCTTCTGGCGTGACTCACTGCATAAAATGACCAGATTGGAAAAATTGACTACACCATCTCCAGAACTTCTTATTTCAATGTTGTCCGGCTATCATCATATTCCATATGTCAATACGAGGGAGGTAAGTTGACCCTATTTACTTTTTTAAAAGAATGAAAAAGTTCAATTTACTCCTCGGCCCCAGCACAGGAACATTGTCCAGAAAGCACCCAAAACTAATTTTATGTTCAATTTATCTCTCAAGATATTTCAGTTGGTCTAATCTACCATTTAGTAAGATTTTTCTTTCTTGTTTCTCCACATGTAAGTTGAATTTTAAGTTTCAATCTTGTAGGTTGAAAGAAATCATATTTTATGTTACAAAAATACATTATGAATGTTCGTCATTAATTTTTGATAACTTAGGCATCTATAATAAATTAATCCTACATACAAAATTGTACAAAAATTATGATGAAAATGTCATAATGTATTTTTCTAACATAACTACATAAGTTATGATGTTCACTATCAGCTACATAATTGGAGCTTTAGACTCAACTGGAGGCGTAAATTCAACACAAAAGTTAATTTATAGGTTATGCAGTCAATTTTCATGCGCAGGGGAGTAATTTGGGCTTTTACCTTTTAAAAAAGGCCTTGTATAGGATTTTTTTTTATTTTGTTTAGAAAAATTTGCTCTCCTAACCACATTGATTTTTAAACTTGTGGGGTAATTCCTTAAAATTGGATTTTTGAGTTGGAAGTCAAATTTGAATTGAATGGAATATTAACAATAATCAGAAAAAAATTGGAGGTGAAATAGGAAGGTGCAGTGGTGGCAGTTACGGCACACATCAACTCCTAGTGCTCCGCCATAGTTATATTATGACTGTAACGGATACTGAACCAATCCAGGTCTTGGTTCATGGTTTGCTTGGTCCAACCTGTTTAACCGTCGATTCAACACAGTTCAAATAGAATGAGTCCCACAGGAAAGCTTGGCTCTGAAAGGACTGGATGGCTCTAGAGTGGGTGAACTGGGCTCTAAAATTTAGTGCAACAACCTTTGTCTTTACAAATTCTACCCACCTCTTGCAAGGATTAAGCCTAGGACTTAAAACATCACACTAAGATTAAGTCCTTAGGGCCATCATGCTAAACATGTCCTTAAAAAAACTAAAACAACACTAAAAGAACATGCTAAGCAAGTCTACAAAGGGCTCATATAAGTCTAGCTCAGAATTTTGCTTACAAGAGAGAAGAGAGGGAAAGAGAAGAGCTAGCTCTTGTTTCAATGCTAGGCTCAGACGGATTACAAGGTCTGCTCGTGGAGTCCACGCACAAGCTCATTAATTTCCCTTGCATGTTTATATCAGATTTAGTGAGACCTCGCCCTCCAAATCCCTCAGCCAAACATCAATTTAGTCTGCTAGTGTTAATTTACCAGTGTTTACCCATCGACACAAGGGATAGGTTTAAGGCCTATGTTGACAGCAAATTACCATGCAATGGTTAACTTGGTTTGCGACTCTAGAAAAAACCAATGATAACACAAATTTATAGTTACAAAGGGTGTTTGGCAGCCCCCTTAGTTTAAGTATATGCAATTCATGTACAAATCCCATGCCACCATTTTCCCCCAAAACTCGCACCTTTTGAAAAGATCTCCCAAGACTAAGCACAAAATTTATATATATTATTACGTCGTTCTAAAACATAAGAATTCTGAGTTTATCCCAAGTCAAATTGTTTTAACCTTGACCAATAATAATAATTTTTTATATCGAATGGGTATTTTGTCAAACTTATGACAATTTAACTTTGGACAAACTCATATTCCCTTGTATTTTAGGATGCCCATAGTAACAGAGTAACCATTTGTGAAAAGACTTGTCCTAACCAAACAAAGCATAGCTTACACTCTGTCCTATGCACATTAAATCATTAACCAACCACATCTTTTGACCCTGTTTAGTTAATCCCCTTTCCAACGTGATTCGAGAGGATCAAGGAGATTTTAACTTATAAGAAATTTATTAATCCTCCTCAATTCCTTTTGATCCCTCTAATCCCTTCAAACCATAGCATTAACAAAGTTGAAGGAAGGGTTTGTCCTTATCCACAAAAGAATATCTTCACATATGTGTGTGTGTGTGTGTTTTTAATTTTTTACCGTTTAAAAAATAGATTTTCAAAATAACCTACCCTCAAAAGTATTTTAAAATATAATCCGTTTGGCCACACCTGTCCACTTGTCGCGACAAAACAACGGTATCATGCCACATTCATTGACTCGGGAAATCTGCCACACTGGTGGCAGGTGCGTACAAGGCGTGCTCATGTCGTATCAGAGGGAGTGACGTGACAAAAACATAGTGTCATGCCATAAGCATTCACCTGACTGGGTCGATTCATTTTCCCCAAAAATAAATTAGTAATCAGACTCGAAATCCTACGAAACCGACATGTGCATTGTACATAGTGTAAATGTTTCATTTTGGTGATATGCACAAAACCATGCGTTATATATTTCTGAAATATCTAATTTGAAAGTAGGATGTATTAATGCTGCAACAAGAGAATGAGTTTCCAAATACTGGAAATAAATATTCAATCTGTTCTCCTTTCCTCAAATTTATTTAGGTAATGAATATAAAATATTTTAAGATTTTGATTGGGTTGCAGTATGATATGTAGTTGTTCCATTTTAACTATAATGACATCATCAATTGTTGTAAAATTAGAGTTATTTAATTGAATTATGCTAAAAAAATATATCTAAGTTGGACTACTTATCAAAGTTTTAATGTTCGAATATTTAGATACTCTTAAGAAATTATAAGATCTACTCGAATTTAATCAAAACTCTGACATGGATAAAAATTTCAGTGTGGTCATTCAATTTTGCTAACATACACGATAGCATTTGTATATGTTCAAGATTGCCAATATCACCATGGGAGTCGGATGGCTATCGTATGCATACTAATGTTGGTAGTAGTTTATTTAGTTTTTAATGCTGAATGTCGTACAACGCAGGTGGCTCTTTTTAGCGTAAGACCAAAGCGGAGTCGGGTGTACAGGAATCCGCTTTTAATTTTTGACAGCTACAGGCAGCAGCTACGTTGGAAAGAAGCACTGGAGGAGGAAGAATTAGAAACACTAGAAGAAGAGGGAGACAATAAAGAGGAGGAAGATCCCCTCAGGCGCTGGGTTCACCGGAAAAAAGAGATGGAAGAGAATGAAACACAAGGGGAAGAGCACCCCCTACACTTTGCCACTGGCTCTGCCACTAATTGCTCCAATAACTTCTCCCTTCTATATCAATACCATGACTACAAAATTGAGCAGATAACTATCCAGAATCTTGAGCATGTGGAGAGAGCAGAGGAAGTAAGCGGGCAAGGCCAGTTGTCCCAATATCGGCAACTGCAGTCACTGAGTTTGATGTGGTCTAGCAGCAGTTTGCCACAGGATTCAAGCATAGTTAATGACTTTCTGATTCTTGAAAAACTCCAGCCTCATGGGACCCTAAAAACACTTCGAATACAAGGCTATAGGAGTCGTACATTGTGCTCCTGGGTGATGGATATAAGTTTTTCCCTTCCAAATCTTGTGAAAGTTGAGCTGTCTGACATGATATTGTGTGAGCATATCCCTTTATTAGGCAAATTAGCAAACCTGGAAGAGCTGTGCATCTCAAATATGCCTTGTGTCGCCAAAGTTGATGCTGCTATATATGGAGACAAGACACCATTATTTAGGAAACTGAGAGAGTTTACAGTCAAGAAAATGAATGGCCTCGAGAAGTGGGAACTTCTTCAGTACTGTGTTAATCTGGAGCAACTGAGTATTCGTTCCTGTATCGACCTTACTACCTTGCCAGATAGCATCCGATGCTGCCTCTTCCTCAGCAAATTAGAGGTACTAGAATGTTGGAATTTTTCTGCTTTACCGGAATGGCTTGGAGAACTTGTATCACTGCGTGATCTGTGTGTACATGCTGCCAAACTCGAGCGATTGCCCCAATCCATTCAAGACCTCAGTGCTTTGGAGAAGCTGGTCCTTAAGAAGTGCAACTACAGACTCCGCAAACGTTGCACATCAGGAGAGGACAAAGACAAGATAAAACACATTGGAAGTGTAGATATAACTCAGGTAATTTACTCTGCGTGTCTATATGTACGACTTATATTCAGCTGTATATAAAATGATAATTTGGCCATGCCTTTTGTTTCTTGTTGTCTTTGAAAATGCAGAGCCCTGTTCTCTTGGTCCATTCAAACGATATGTTTATGGAGAGGATTTGTAGTCCCCAGCTTATTGAACTACATATTGTGTGTTCTAAATACAATAAAGTATCCACACTGGATGTAAAAAAGCCCCACCCTTATGACTCGCTCGAAATACTTAGCATAAAGGGGTATGATGATGCATATAACCCTCTTTGGATGTCATCACTCCCAAACCTTGTGAAATTGGAGCTCACTAGTGTGGTACTTGAACATATCCGTCTGGATCAGTTACCAAACCTTGTGAAATTGGAGCTCTCCAGTGTGGGATTTGAACATCTCCGTCTTGATCAGTTACAGAGCCTCCAAGAGCTGAACATTTCACGGGTACAGAGCATAAGGTCGAAAGTCTGCATCTGGTGCACAGAACCACTTAGAAAGCTCAGAAGAATTACAATGTCCGAATTAACCAACCAGGAGTTGCAAATATCCATGGAGGGGCAGGGTTGTAGCGATGAGAATTTGTTTCCAGGCCTACAAGATCTGGAGATACACTGTTGTTCTATGTTGAGGTTTGAACCATCAATCCCAAGGAGTGCCAGGTACATCTTATCAGGCAGGAAAGGACAACCAGGCCAAGACATGTGTCCATCTTTTCCTCGAATCATGAGGCCATCCATCCCTGCCTCATTATACAAAATGGAGATCAGGTATAGCAGAGGGTTTTCATCCACATCCTGGAACGGTCTACGACACTTTGACATCGGGGAATTGATTATAGACGACTGTTATGATGATATACCTTTGCCAGAGAGTATTCGGGGATGGAGATCCCTCCAGAAACTCGAGATATTGAACTGTGACGAAATTACGACGCTGCCAGAGTGGCTGGGCGAGATCACCTCGCTCCGGGAGCTCAAGGTGGAGACCTACTTTATGAAAACTTTACCTGCATGCATCCAACAGCTCACCGGATTGCAGACCTTGACCCTGTTAAACTGTGGACCAGTGCTTGAGAAGAGATGCAGATATGGAGAGGATAAGAACAAGCTGGCACATATTCCAAATGTGACTATATTATAGATTGAGACAACTCCCCATCACCGTCAGTGTCCATGGATGGTTAAGATTCGAATCCGGTAAGAGGTTTGTCATTTCTACTTTTTCTGAATTATTGCCAACAAAACGAGGAGCCGGAGCCTATGCTTTAATGTGGACCATTGTTCAATGTGATGGAGACAAAGCTTTTCCATATTTCAGGATCTTGAGTTGAGTCAGGAGAGAAGCCGTGGGCTTTGTTCCTGCTCCATTACTCCAAGCCGGCGATGAGCCTCCCATTTCTTTCTCCCTGTCCACGGTGAATTGAAATGTTCAGTTGAGAAGAGGTGAAGACTTTTCTTGAATAAAGATCTCATATTAAGTATATAATTCGCTGTAGATATCCTTAATATGTGCTCATGTTTGCTCCTCCCATTGTTGATGAGTTGGGAGCGTAGGTTGGTTTGTGTCCAATCATCGATCTTGGCCCTCCTGTCCTATATATGATTTTTTACATGTTCATGATGGTGCTTGTACTCTTCTTGATAAATTACTCTCGTCACTTGTGGTTGATGAAATAGAAGCATAGATTGATTTGCATTGTACCATGAATTTTGACCCTGCTCTGTTCAGATTTTAAAATGTGACTGAACTGATGTACTAGCAAGCAGGTTGGTGTCAAAAGAGAGGCCTCCTGTGCTTTCTGCAAACGACCATGCATCCACATGCTTACTTTGTTTTCCATGCACCTCTCATCCTGTACTTAAAATTTCCCCCTTCTGTATCAATCTTTTCCAGCATCAAAGAAGGAACTGCACGCTGACCTGCAGAATGCTATCAATATATATCCACAATTCCATACCGAAGCAGCCTGTGTGTATAGTGAAGAGCTGAAGTTGCTAATTGTAACGGAAGCATGCTTTGCTATATATTTTTCGCGGTGAAGAAGGAAGGATGAAGCAGTGTGTCGTATTTATCTCTTGACGAGGGCTTGAATTTGCATGTGGTGGTTGATTCTTCTTCGCCGCCACTGGACACTGGTGTAGTGGTGTGTTTGCCTGGACTTCGTACAGCGCATGAATGCCTGGCTATTCGGCTAGTTTGGTTGACCTATGGCATGTTGCTTTCTGGTTTTATTTGTAAAATATACGTATGATATTTAGGTCCCATTTGGCATAGCTCAAATTCACTAGTGAAGCTTCACAAGCAGTTTTTTTGATAAAGCTGAGCTGTTTTTTTACCCCGTTTGGCTCTACAGCTTCACATGAACCCAAAGAGGAAAATGATTACAGTGCACTTTCCTTTTTCTTTTTCTTTTTTTTCCATATCTCCTCTCTCCTGCGCGTCTTCTTCCTTTCTCTCTTGCCCGAGCGACCGTATATCCAGGATGTCGTGCCCCGATGTCCGGTGGCCGCCCTTCGTCCTCGTGCCCCGGCGACCGTGCCTCTGGCGGCCACATCCCCACCCCACGCCGACGGTCCAACTCTTGGCGAGCTCTGCCCTGGCGGCCACGCCTTGGGGGGCCACACTCCGGCGGTCTCGTCCGGTACGCCGGCGTACGCGCGACTCCCACCCCCTCTCTCTCTCTCTCTCTCTCTCTCTCTCTCTCTCTCTCTCTCTCTCTCTTAGGGCAAGACCCGTCAATGGTGCAGGCTGGGACCACTTCTGTCAGATGAAGCTAGCAAAAGCTACTTTTTTCAGCTCTCTTCCACTCCATCGCTTTGTGAGAGGAGAAAAAAACTGTTTTACCTATGAAGTTGTTTTGGAAAAGATGTTTGGAAAAAAAACAGCTCATAAAGCTGTTGTGAGCTGTGCCAAACAGGCACTTAAGTACTCCTTCAGTTTCGAATTATAAGGTGTTTTGGCTTTTCTAGACACGTTACTTTTGCTATGCATTTAGATATATACATTATGTCTAGATGCAAAGTAAAAACAATGTTTTTAGAAAAGCCGAAACATCTTATAATCTACTCCCTCTGTCTTAAAATAAATCAATTCCTAGAATTCGTGCTGGTCAAACTTTTTTAAGTTTGACTAACTTTATAGAAATGAGTGACAACATCTATGACATAAATTTAACACATTATGAAAATATATTCTATGGTAAATCTAATGATATTAGTTTGATATCATAAATCTTGATTTTTTCCATAAATTTGGTCAAAGTTTAAAAAGTTTGATTTAAGACTTATTCAGGGACAAAGGTAATAGATTTTAGAACAGAGGGAGTAGAACACTAAGTTTGTGCGATATGGAACTGCTGTCACCAGGGATACTATCGGTGTTGGTGAACATCCTCATCAGGCTCATGGCCGTAGAGTCCCTCGTCTTTGCCCCCTTCTTTGCCGCCCACACGAGGCATCCTCTTCAAATGGCTTTAGAAGAAGAGTGGAAAAAGATCAATGGTACTTTAAATTTGCCAAGGAGAGCATAGATACCTATGTCATAAAGAAGTTTCAGTTTACCCATATGGTGCATTTCTTCCTTTTTGTTTCGCTTGTACTGTGTTGCAGTCATGTTGAACTTGTCAACCATGGTATCACATATTTTCGGGTCTATTGCAGTAAGTGGAGCAATTGTCTAGCATTCTATAGGATTAGAGTGCTATTTCAAAAGCCATTTTAATAGTGGAGCTATTTTTAATTAAGGTTGACTTTGTGGGTAGCTCATCGATGTAGGCTTTTTTCATAGTGGAGGATCCAATTTCAAAAGCCATGGGTCTCATTCTGTATGACGTGATAGGATTGGAGAATTGCCAATGGCAGTGGCAGGTGAGGAGTCCTTGTACTTTCCTCGTGTGCATAGTGCAAGCACGATAGATAGACCAATGAGACGACGAGTGTTATTACCTCCAAACTTCCTATCATCGTCGGTGTTAATCAAAGTCCAGTTCCGGTCGGTATCCACTGACATCAATGCAATGCCTACATCGAAACTACGTTAATTAATTAAAGAAAAAATAATGCCCACGTCGAAGCGATCGACGAGGAAGACTAGACGAGTAGTACGACAAGTAAACCGTTCAACATAGGCCACGTTTAGTTCCAAAATTTTTTGGTTTTTACATATCACATCGAATCTTTGGACGTATGTATGAAGCATTAAATATAAATGAAAAAAACTAATTGCACAGTTAGGTGAGAAATCGCGAGATGAAACTTTTGAACCTAATTAGTTCATGATTAGACACTAATTGCCAAATACAAACACTTTCGGGTTCTCCTCTCCACCGTACCGCATATTGTCACCGGTGCAGCAAGACTTTTTGCTCCCGGTTGAGAAACCCCTTTAGTCCTGATTTTCCAACCGGGAGCACCAATCCGGGACTGAAGGTACCCTCCTTTAGTCCCGGCTTGACGCCCGGGACTAAAGGGAAACACCAACCGGGAGTAAAGGGGGCTTCCAGGCCTGGCCAGGGACCGCCACGGGGCAGGATCTTTAGTCCCGGTTGGAAACACCAACCAGGACTAAATGTCTCTATCTTTTTTCCCCTTTTCTGGTTTCTATTTTTGGTTTATTTTTTCATTTAATGATTAGTTTTGATATTAAAATACATTTTCGAATACGCTGCTAATAGTAATATATATGTGTACTTCGCACGCGTAAGTTTTCGTTCGAACTTTGTACATAAATAACAAACGAATATACGCGTACATGCATATATATATGATGATCATATATATACACACGTTATTTTATGTACATATAATATGTGCATACATATATATATATATATATATATTACAAAGGTTTGATATATAAATTGTTTATGTCCTTAGCAATTCACTCCTCCAGATTTGGCATCCACGTTTCGTTCGGGTCATTGTAGAACTCGCCGTTGGGGTTGATGACTTGGTCATTTAGAAATCCTGATATAGTCTCTCGAATTGCTTTAAGTTGGTCAAGTCGTATGACTCTTTTCCTCAACCATTCAATCTTCAATAAAAGTTAAAGGAAAAAGTATTAATATATATATATATATATATATATATATATATGTGTGTGTGTGTGTGTATTGCTCATGTAATTACTTATACAAATGAGAGCAATAAAGAAATTGTAAATATACGATCGAAATAATATAAAGGAAAAAGTATTTATATACGTACTTTGAGTTGCTCTTCAGGAGTTCTCTTTGAGTACGCCATGATGAACTCGCAAACATAGTATCCGTAGTAGTTGTTACCCTGCTCCTGCCTTAGAACCCACTTTTACGACAAAAAAATCAATTAGGGTGAATTAAAATCATCATATGGTGTTAATTGAATATAAATGTGTAGTTATAGTACTTACTTTATGTGCGATTACACTCAGTGGCGCTTTGCAATGTTTCATTTTTTGTTCCTCAATGAACCTTTTCTAAACCCTGCTCCCAATAAAATAAAAAAATAATTTAACCTCTAATAATTGTTGAGAGATCGGCGCCATTATATATATATGTTGTTATAGAGAAACTAAATTAATTACCCTTGTATAATATCTATCATGTCTTGATACTCCGTTTGCGGTTTTCTCAACGAGTCTAAGATTTTCAATCTACTACTGGCCATATCGATGACCATCAATATCCAGTGATTGCTGCATACACACACACACACACACACACACACACACACACACACACATATATATATATATATATATATATATATATATATATATATATGTGTGTGTGTGTGTGTGTGTGTGAGGTAACTAGCTAGTAAGGAAATATTGATGTCCCATATATATGATCGGCATTAATTACTTATAATAACACTCACTTGAAGTTGTAGAGGAAGAGTATCTCCTTCTTGTCGCGTTGGTTCACTAAGAAATTCATGAGATTTCTCTCAGGTTGAGGCTTATAATCCTTCGGGGGGTTAGGGTGTTTGTATACGACATACGGATCAACGAACCCAACATCATTATCATTTCTCTTTCTAAGTTCTGTCATCTCATATCTGCATACATGAAAATTGTGAATATATATATTATGAATATATAATAAAGAAATTGTGAATATAGTAGAAAATAATCACACTTACAGACAATAGCAGCTAATG